TTAATAACAATGAGCATAATTATTTTATGATAGAAATTGTTTAACTGAATTTGGTTGTTTTTTTTGTGGCTTGTCAATTGTTTAATACTGAATTTAGCAAAATGTTTCATAAATCCATGTCCTTGTGCTACATATAAACTTGACAACTTCCAATTGTTTGCAGTTGAATATTATTGCCGAAAGATCTTGACAAGAAAAAATAACAGTTGAAAGCAATATTGTTAAATATGCTAAGCTATGATCTAGTCTATAAATTCGTCAATATGGTTCAACCTGTGATGCAATTAAAAAATAATAGTATTTACACACATGATACTATACAGGAAAAAACTTTGATATGACAATTTGACTTCTTATTACAGAAAAATATCAAAATTTTAAAAAATAACAAATACTAATTTCCAACGATGATAGGGATGCGAGGTGCATCAAATATGACCTTAGAAAATGGTGTTTGAGGTTTTTGCAGTACCAAACACGCCACCCGAAAAGCCGTTACCCCAAACCCAATTTTTAAATTAAATTATTATTATTATTATTATTATTCTTTTATATATATGTGTATTAAAAGATCTAATTATACATGACCCCACATGAAAATAACAAAAAAACTAAATTAAATAATGAAAGTTCCCTGCCATCCAAAGATTTGAAGGGGAATTTAAGTCATTATAATGTAAAAGACAAATGGAAAAGCTCATAAAGCCTCTATACACAGTGGAATAAAGTTGTAAAAAGATTGATTAACCCTATTTATTTTTTTAGTTACTAATAGATCTCATTGAAAAGACCTTCCTACCCCTAAGATAAAGTTAATTAAGTTTTCCTTCCAATGATAAAATGGTTATTTACTGCGTGAATCAACAATCAAATATGAGATCACTTAGCACTTTTTTATTTTCTTTTCTTGTGTACTTCATGCTTAATTGTTCATTACGAGGAAAGGGGCAACACATTAATTTACAACAAGTTTGCAAGTGATAATGATAAATAAATACATGTAAAACAATGATATTCTATTTTGTCGCTCTTTTTGCTCTCTTGATATTTTATTAGGAATGCTAGGTATCCCGTCCAAGTTAATTCCTAATCTAAAAGAAGTAGGAATTGATATTATAAATAACTTGGTTTTTAGGCTATCATTGTTTGTGACAAGCTTTTTTTTAAAAAAAATGGTTTTCTTGGAAAATAAATTCTTAAAAAATAAATTATTTTTAAATATTTAGTAATATCATTAAAAATAAAATAAAAAATATTTTTTTTTAATATTTGGCTACGCTATGGAAAATAAGTTGAAAAATAATTTTTTATTATATTAATTTTTTTTAAATTTATTAAAAGAATAGAGAACAAAACTAATATATGAAAAAAATTAAAGGATAATAAAATTAAAAAAATCTTATCTCATAAATTATTTCAAGGAAACAAACAGCAATCAAAGAATAGGGACCAAAATTGACAGATAAAAAAGTTGAAGAATGATTAAATTAAAAAAATTTAATTTTATAAATTATTTCAAATAAAAATAGCAATAAAAAAATAAAAACTAAATCTATTAAATAAAAAAATTAAAAGAAGATGAAATTGAGAAAAAAAATCTAATTTCACAAATTACTTCAAATAAAATAAATAGTAACCAACAGATTTGGACCTAAATATGACATATAAATGATAAAAATAAAAAACAAATAACAATCAAAAGAATAATAAGTAAGGTTAAGATAAAAATTAAATTAAATTAAATTCTAAGGGATAAATTGAAATTAAAAAAATTCAATATAAAATATATAACAATCAAAGGAATGAGAACCGAATTTGATATAATTAATGAATAACATGATATTGTTTATTTTTTTACAACTTCTAGCAACTGCATGCTACCCATAATAAAATGAAAACACTTTCCTGAAAACTAAATCAAGTTTTTTTTATTAAAAAATATTTTTCTTTGATCAATTTTTCTAATGATAAACAAATATGAAAAAGTTTAAAAAATAATTTTTAAAAAATATCTTTGCATAAAACAAGCAAAGCCTTAGTTTGAGTAATAAGGCATTTAACATGTAATTTAATGGAAAACCATAGTTTGAGTTTTTAGACCACAAAAACTTTCAACTTGTTTTAATTAAAAAAAAATCCAATCTCAATTACCTCATTTTCAATCTCATAGCACTCTCTAATCAATCTTAAAATACAAAATCAAACCAAATACTAAACCTTTATGATCAATCTCCATTGAATTATCCTTCAAAGATGAACTAATTGACATATATATTAATTTTTTTGTGGCTTTTAATATGTTTGACTTTAATATTTCTCTCCACTCTTTTTTTTGTCAACTTACACTCTCTTCTAGCAACATAAAAGGACTAGAATGTGAGGTTTAAGAACCAAAATATACACACTATCAGAAAATTGATAAATACGAATGAAAATATCAAGAAAATATTTTTATTGGTAAATTACAGATGAATTTTACAGACAAAATTATTCCCTCGGTATTTACTGAGGGAATTGCAGTGAAAAAAAAAATTAAAAAAAAAAAGAGAAATGATGACGTGTCATTTTATCAACAAAATTACAGACATAATTTATTAAAAAAAATAATATTTAATTATTTTTCAGTAAAACTATAAGTAAAACTCCTTAATAAAAAGTTTAGAATCCCTAATTTCACAACAGACTCGTCCTTGTTTTTTGCTTTTTTCTTTTTTTTTTCTCTTCTCTCTTCAACTAGATCTCTTCTCCTCCATACTCAAGTATGTCTTCTTCTTTTTTCTATTCTCTCCTCAACTCCTTCTTTTCTTCTCCATGTGTAGGTATGTCTTTTTCTCCTTTCTTATTTTTTCTTCTCAATTTTTTTAATTGGTATACTTTATGAATTTGTTTTATTTCTCTTCTTAACTTCACTTGCAATTACATTAAGGTAAAAAAAATTCTTCTTTTTTTGTGTTTTTTCCATTATATATGTTTTTTTTATTTTAATAATTGTATGAATGTTGTTGTAGGAATTTTTTTTTCATGTGAGATTAATTTTTAGTTGATTTATTTATAGGATTTTTAATTTTTTTTCATATGAATTTTTTTAGTTAAATGTTTTTATTTGTTGCAATTTTTTTTGAGTTAATTTTCTTCTTCTTTTTTTCCATGCATTTTGAGTATATAGAGTGTTGATTAATATTAATCTAATTATTTTATAGTTTTATAAAATATTTATATATTTTTTAAATATTTTTAAAGAACTATTGATGGAATTATATATAGTTTGTTTTCGAGGGAATTATTGATGGAATGAAATATTTTTTTTCTTGCCTTTTTTGTCAGCAAATCCATCAATAATAATATTTTTTTACTACCAACGGATAAAAAAATATAAAAAAAAATTAGGATCGAAACATAAACACCTAAAATTACAAGGTCAAAAATGCAAACATAAAAAACTTTAAGGTCCAAATTGAATTTCTAATATTTTTTTATGGATCAAATTGAAATTTTTTTAATTTCATGGACTGATATTTAACTTAAATGAAGTTTTAGGATCAAAATGTCAATACCTAAATTACATGGACCAAAAATAAAAAAATATAAAATAATATGTGTATCAAATTGAATTTTTTTATGTAAGTGTAAGCACAAAAAACTACAAACAAGTACAAAAAATGTAGAATTTGATAAGCAGAAAGAGTTCGTGTCTTTATAATTTCTTTAAATAGACTAAACAACCAACCTATACTAAGCAATAAAATTAGAATTCTAAAACATAAAAAAAAATCATAGAAAAAAAAAACATGAAATCTAAAAATAAACAATGAGAAAGATCAAAGTCAACTAAAATAGGACCTTTTAAGCCTAATTTAAGGTAATTTATGTAATGAAGTGACCGAAAAAAAGGGTTCCTAATATAATTGGGCCTTTGATCTCTTGTAAAAAAAAAAAAAAGAGCTTTGTCAAATGGTTAAAATAAAAGTTATGGTCAATTTCACTTATTATACTGGTATAACACGACAAAACCTTGTGAGCCTAGTCATGTTCCACTTATCCATAAAAAAACATTTATTAGGCTATGTATGTAGTCTATTTATGAGATATCTTCATCTAGTTATGGTCATAAATTTATTGACATCAAGATCATCTTTTGTTGTTATTAAAAGGTGGCTAACCAACTACTTTATAATCATAATTGGGCTTACGATTAAATGCTTACGATTTTAAGAGCTAATATTTATATCTACTTTATAATCTTATGTGGGCATATTTGATCATATAAAATCAAATTTAAAAATGAAACAAGAAAAGAATAATATTAATTTACTCAAGTTAAAAGCTACAAGGGACAAAAAAAAGACAAAAAAAATTGTGAATCATAATTAACTGGGCAAGAGATAAATGAAGCGACAAAAAGCCACCAAATGAAGAAATCGCGCGCGCTACCACAGACATATCCATGTCATATGACGGCTTTTGGTTGAAATTATGGAAGCTACTTCACTTAAACGACACTCCTCATGCCAATGAACTTTTACTTCACGGCATGTATACCATGATTGTATTTTTATAAGAAAAGAAAACCTCCCATTTCAATTCTTCATATAAGAAAAGGGAGAAAACCCATTAATATATTGGGTCGAAGGAAGCAGTTTGGTCTCCACCATCTTGTATAAGATCGAAAACATATAAACCGAATTCAACGGTCTCCGATCGGCTTAATTGATACTATAATTAAGTTATATGCATGTAGAAATCAACATTTGGCTTAACAAATCAAAAGTCAACGACGAGAACGAAGTCCGAGCTTAATTATGGTTGGTACAAGTTAAGAAAACTGAACGTAGTCAATGCTCCAAGTAATAAAAAAGGATATACGCAGCTCCGGTGAACAAAAGAGATTCATTGAACTCGCATAAGAACGGTGTCACCCTGGCATCTCTTTTCCACTCTACTTATATTATGCAGTGCCTTCTTTTGACCATTCAAATGTCAACGATTTCAACACCCCATCCTCCTCTTTTAAATTAATCCTATCCTTGCTATTTACAACCATATTTGCTACCATAGCAATTAAATTTACTCTCTCTCTCTCTGCTCTTCATCCTGGCTAGCTTGCTAGTTCAGCATTACATGCAAAGAGAGGAACAAGAAATTCAAAGAATGGATGGTTCTGTTCATCATATTGTGCCATCTTTCTTTATCTGCCCAATATCTCTTCAAATTATGAAAGATCCGGTTACTATATCCACAGGTATGACCTTTGATCGAGAAAGCATACAGAAATGGCTTTTCTCTTATAAAAACATCGCTTGTCCTATTACAAAACAACCTCTCTCTGATTTCCGTCTCACCCCAAACTCTAATCTTCGTCGCTTGATCCAATCATGGCACTTGCAACACGCATCATCATCAACAACAAAGTTTGCGGAGCCTAATCATGATTCGTTGATGAAATTGCTTCTTGAGGAGATTAAGCAACCCCATTTACAGGTAAAATCTCTTAGAAAGATCAAGTCATTAATCCAAGAGAATCATGGTGATAATAGCAGGATTAGTTGCATTAGAGATGATAGTTTATTTTCCCTTGCAGTATCTCTTGTAGTCCAAACTGAGTTAGCAGGGATTCCACAGATTACTGGTAATTACACAACGGTGATCGCTGAAGCGGTGTCTTTGTTATGTCTTTTAAGTCCATCTGATGAGGCATTAAAGATGGTTTCACAAAAAGAAAATGGCCTATTAATCTGTTCACTCTGTTCAATTATGACACGGTATCTGAGCAATCTACAGCTTAGAATTCAAGCTGCTCTTGTCCTGAAGTCCATATTCGAAGTGGTAGATGACATTTACAAGGAAGGACTTAAATTTGAGTTCTTTGAGAATATCATTGAGATATTAAAGGACCAAAATTCAAAACATGGAAGCATGGCAGTTTTAGCTATTTTAATAAGAGTTTTATCATATGGGAAGAATAAAGAGAAAGCTATTAAGGGAGGATGCATTCCGATCCTGATCGAGTTGCTAGCTGAGGAAAATGAGAGGCATGTCTGTGAGATGATGTTAGTCGTTCTAGAAAAACTGTGCCAGAAAGCAGAAGGGCGGGCGGCCTTTTTGTCACATCCAGCAGGCATGGCAGCTGTGGTGTCAAAGATCTTGAAGGTTTCCCATGTTGGAGATGATAAATCAATAAGTTTGCTGTCACGTGTCTTAAGATTTTGTACTAGCAGTGGTGAGGCTGCTCAAGAATTTATGGAGGTGGGTGGAATGACTAAGATTTGCTTGGTGATACAAAGTGGATGCAATTCAAAGACCAAGGAAAAGGCCAGGGAAATTTTAGGGTTTCACTTCAAAACATGGAACAAGTCTCCTTGTTTCCCCTCTTCATTCAAAGCTTGATTAATTACCTTGCGTCCACATTGTAGAGAGAATCATTAATTTCTTGCAAAAGCTATACTTATGTGAATTATTTTTTTCCTGGATATTTGTTATGTTTTTCAAGTGGATCGAAGGCCGTTCTGTTTATCCCCATTTTGTAGTTGTTGCCAAATTAATGTAGTAAATAAAATATGATGATGAAGAAAAAACAAAATAAAACTTGAAGCCATATACAAATATAATTCTTAATCTTAAAGATACGTTCTTAACACAAAACTCTCTTTGTTTTGCAAGACAATGATTTTCGGCACTTTTTGATTGTAACAGCTAAACAATGAATTCAACAAAATTAATTCGTTGAATCGCGCATATGGAGACAACCAAGGAGGGTTTTCCGGTTCAACCTTATAGGTGACCTTATACGTGCAAGTATATTATTTATTTTATTATCTCATATCAAAATTTATTATATAAAACTCAATAAAGATTTCACTTTTTTCAATGCAAAATACAAAAATTATATATACTCTATATTTACATGAAATAAGTTGTGTTTTTTCAATATAAAATAAAAATATTTTAAAATAATCTTTATTATTTATAACAATTAGTGTGTGATGCAATTGTAAATCATAAAATGGAAGAACTTTAGATCTAGAATATACTGTTTCTGTTGCAATAAATTTACTCTTTTGTTTGCAGTGGGAGCTAGCAACACCACTGTTATACTCTAATATTTATGCTTTTATACTTAATTACGTGAATATGGATTCTGCAGCATATATACATGGATAATGCAAGCTACATCATAGGCAAAAGTTTACTACTCCGACAGCTTGAAATACCTTCTTTATATTTGATGCTAGGGTTTTATACTCATTAGCAGTGCAGCTGGGAGTTAATTACCTAGGGAAGGGATGAGCAATGCAACCAATAATTCATGCCAAACAATTATTCTTAGGACAAGCAAGGTAAATATGAACAAGTCTTCTCTGCGTACGTGTCAACATTGTATCATATATCCCAAACCAACAACCTTCACTAAGACGAAAGCGAACATGTAATTGATAAGTTAAACCATCAATATATTTTTCTTTTTCGATAAATTATATCAACTACTCTCTTTCGGATTTGTAAACGCCAAACATATGACGATAATAGTAGTTGGAAGACTTTTCCTTACGTAGCATAATAATCAGGCCTGAATATCTACACATGGATGATTAATTAGCGGCCCGCAACTCACTGGCATCGATCTGCCACTGAAAGGGTCCTGCTTTGCGCCATGCATTACGAATGCACGATAGAGCAGAGCAGGATGCCGCCTGGTAAATGCAGCCAAATCAGTATGCATACGTCTACAAGGTACGTAGAAAGTTTTGTTGTAAATGAATTGCATTTGGGAAATAAAGAAAAATTAAATTTTCGGAAAAATAAGAGAGGATTAAGTCATAAACAAGTATGAGAATATAGGAATTGAATTGTGGGTTTTTGAACAATCGGGATTAACTAGTTATTTTTCTCAAAGACAATAAGCATGCATGAATAAAAGCTTATTTTCCATTTCAATAATAAAGTGTATATATGTATGTATATTAATCTCATAATTCGAGAGTTTTCCCAAGTAGACAATAATAATAATCCTTCTAAATATCATTTAGAAATCTTTTTATATATATAAATCAGGGATATATTTTGGTTTATATATATATATGCAGGAAACGTTCAAGTACTTAAAGGCCTAATTAATTAATAATGACTCGATCGACCGATGAAATTTGTTAAATAGTTTTGACGAGAACATATATAAATTATAATTAGGTCGTAAGTCTAATCCCTTAAGCTCGGACATTAACTTGGAACGTAGAAAAGAGCTGAACCATGTTGTCAAACATGGTTGCTCTTTATTTCTGATTTATAAGTCTGGTAATAACTTTGGAGGAATAATGAGAAAGCAATCCAGTACCACATTTTAGTCGCGTGCAATAAATTCGAGACAAGTTGCCAGTTTAGCGCTCGTGAAGTTTCGTCGCTTGCTCGCAGCTTGGACGCTACAATTAATAAGGTCAATTCAAGAAAAAAGCACTTTTGACCACTTTGTTCCAACGAATCCGATCCAGCAATACAGGATTTGAATTTCAGAACACTAGTTTTAAAATTTTACACCGAAAAGTTTAAAGGGATATATATATATATATGGATCAATATATTTTCAAAAATTAACTTTTAGTTTAGAATTTTATTCAATAGACCAACGGAAAAGTGATAACCCTAAGTTGTTAAAGTTTATAATTATACCTAATATATCTAAGCTTAATAGAATGTATAATATAGATGTAATTTATTTCTAGATCTTACATTTTTAAACGTGGTTAAGAACAAAGCTCAAATAAGCATAATCTAATAAGCTATTAAATTTAATATTTTTGAATTTATTTATGTATTAAGTCTAAATAAGTATAAATATAGTTATCAAATCTAACATTTTTAGATTTTATTTATGTATTAAATTTAAACAAATATAACTTTAATAAGCTACCAGACTTATATTTTATGAATTTAATATCGTGCTAAGCATAAATAAATATGAGTTTGATGATCATTATAAATTTTTTATTAAGCCATGAAGCTTTATTTGTTTAATTTTATAATTTTTAACATAAAATGTTAATATATTATTACAACAATTTACTCAAAAGCGTCCTTTGCAAAATTGTTATGTTAATTTTGTTAGGATGTTGGCATGCAAACCCGACAAGATAAAAGATAAGAAACAGGATAAAATGAGAAATGGAACACACAAGAATTTACGTGGTTCACTCAATTGGGCTACGTCCACAGATAAGTATAGAAGGATTTTACTAAGTAATGTAGGAATTACAACCTTTCTCGAATAATAGGAGAACAACTAAGAATCTCTCTATTATTAGGAGAAAACACCTCACTTACTCTATCACAAATACCTCACAATTTTGTGGGATTACTCTCTCTTCACTCTCTTCTTCTTCTCTCTATTTTGGTGTGCATATAGGCTTGAATGCATTGCCTATTTATAGGCAAGAGTGAGGGTATAATGGTCATAAATTTAGGAGGAATATATGCCTAACAACTCATCCTCCACTCATCCTCCACCAATTACAACTCATTTTCCACTCAAATTCCATTAATTATGTCATCTAATTACATGACTTTACAAATTTCAATTATGCCATCTAATTACATGACTTTACAAATTTTAGATACAAAATTTAAAGAAGAAGAAGAAGTTTAAGTGCATTTTAAGAGGGTCTATGTGCTTAATAAAACACCCACTTTTCTAAAAGGATAGGAGCACGAGGATATCACTAACCATAGCCACGAAGCAATGGCGTTTAATAGCAAGATCTGATATAATTTTTCAAGGCAATGTCATGTTATCTCTTTTCTGTTTGTGCTTTCCGTGCTTTCTAATAAAAGCATTTGCCCATAAAGAATTGCATATCTTTGGCCACTAACGCGTCGAAGGTACCCTCGTTTTATCTACCACCGAGAACCTTGGAAATTTTCTTGTACGACCATCGAACAGACCATTGTCTAAATTCATTTTAGAGACCTGACTCGGTAGGTATGGAGCAGAGGCTGACATATATATAAATGCTTTACTTGTGATAACTAGTCATAAGTCCTAGAACAAACCGATATCAGTTACCTAGAAAATAAGCCTCTGAAAGCTTAAAAATTCATGTTAATGTTATTGAAGTTTATCTAGCTATATATCCTTTTTGTTAGAAGACACTGATATAGCACAAATAGATTCAAAAGAACAGCCCACTTGGCTAAGTATATCAAATTTGTCCTACCAATCTGATCTTTGCCATTTTGTGAGTGCTTTTTCGCCCCAAAAATGGTGATGGGAAATGAAGTGTCAAACATGCTGGAATGGAGGATAAATGTACCTGATGGAGCATTAAAGATATTGAAGCCTGAATCTGATTTAGTCCACGGAATCTGGCTGGGGTTAAAGGAGAATTCATATTGAAAATTTGGAAGTTTTTGGAAGTTTTTGGAAGTTGCTGAGCCTAAAAAGGTTATTCATTGTCTCAAAGTAGGGATGGAACTATCTACTGTGTCGCTCTTCTACTATATGAGGCCTTTATATGATGGTGTTAGGGAATGTTGTGTGGGCGATAATGACAGCTGTGGTGGTTTTTGAAAACACTGCGGGTTAGCACTCCAAATTAAACCCCAGCAATTTGTGAGCTTCACTTAATTTTTCTGTCTTTACGTATGATGTCTACTCTATTAAGAGATAACAGAGTAGTACTCTAGGATCGAAACCATAATTGCAAACCATGTCTTCATGAAGTTCCAATGTTCCATGATATTTTACTTTTTAAGTTGCTCGTTATATTTCTGGTGCAACATTCTATAAATGTATTAACAGAGGAATAGGCACTTTTCTTGCTGGATCACTTGGCGTTGGTGTTCATTGGGCTGCAAATCACTCTGGAGTTGAGCCCATAATTCTTGGAATCTCAGTCTTCTTTCTTGGTGAGTTTGAACCTGTTCTCAAAACAGATTTCCTCCCTTTGCAGTTTTACCTGCTGTTTTGTTTGTGGGTACTGTCTTGTTCTTTAAATACCTCCCTTCCACTCACACACCCTTCTCTAAATGACAGCTTCAGCAGCAACCTTTTCGCGGTTTATACCATCAGTTATATCCCGATTTGAATATGGTGCTATGATCTTCATCCTGACCTTTAGTTTAGTGTCAGTTTCTGGTTATCGCGTGGATAAGGTGATTGATATTGCACACCAAAGGTTATCCGCAATTGCCATTGGGGCCTCCCTTGGCATTCTCATGAGCATGCTATTCTATCCCATCTGGGCTGGCGAAGAGCTTCACAATTTGATTCATCGTAACCTGGAAAAGCTTGCTGATGCTTTAGATGGTATATATGCACACAGCCAACCATTAAAATTGAATTCATCCGTTTCAACAGAACGACAATATAACTGATTTGAGGTACAAATGGTTGTCAACATGAATTGCAGGATGTATTGCCGGTACTTCACAGGCAGCAGTTATGGTGATTCTTGTAAGAAAATGGAAGGCTATAAATTCGTTCTTAATTCAAAGGTAGCTGAAGATTCTACGGTAGGTTACTAACCAATCCAAATCATTTCAGTAATAGATTTTCAGTGAACTTCTTGCAATGGTTGATAAACTTCCCCTTTAAAATGCGCAGGCTGGCTTTGCAAGATGGGAACCTGCACATGGTCGTTTCAACTTCCGGCATCCATGGAACCAGTACCTAAAGGTTGGGGCTTCATTGCGAAGCTGCGCATATTGCATTGGAACTCTCAATGGTTGCTTAAACTCTGAAAATTCAGGCAAACCCCGAATATGGAATTCACTTCTATCTAAGTTCTTCGGTTTGCTCCACACCGTCAACTCTGAAAACATTAATGTATCGCTACAGGCACTTGAGCATCTAAAGAGGTATCTCAGTGATATCTCCATCACATTGAGCTCCTATGCTTTACATGTCTTGAAAGAATTGGCTGTTGCAGTTAAGACTACGAAAAAATCATCAAAAATAGACTACTCAATTGGAAAGATGCGGTATGCAGTAAAAGAACTTCAAAAGGCCTTGGAATCTCTTCCTAACCACCTTGTTGCTGCACCATCCTCAACATCGGATGGAGATGCCACAGCAGAGCCTATCAGAAAAACCGCTACACCATCTGTCATGGAGATTCTTCGACTAGCAACATTAGTATCTATGCTAACAGAAACAACAGCAAGAATCGAAGAAGTTGCTGATGAAGTCAATGAACTTGCAAAGCTTGCAGATTTAAAGCCTCCTACCAGCAAAAAGGCTAACTCAAGCCAACCCCGTAAGAAAGTTGGTGAGACGATCAACCAATGAAGAATGCATGCGCCAAAGGTCTGGTAAAATCATGATTACACTATCCATAAAGTCCTATTTTTACTGGTAGAAAACTATGAAGTAGACATTACTCTGCAGCAAAGCAGATTGTCATTGCCAAAAAAAAATAAAAAAATCAAGCTTTTCTCAAAGAACAACTAATATTATCACTTGTCATGCGTAAACAGTAAGTTATGTCCTTATTCTCCCAGGGTGTACTCGTGTCGGCCATTCAATCTCCTGATGGCAAGCTAATTAACTCGCCGGTGGTTTTGATAAACCCAATTCATTGCTTGCTTGGGCAATTGCCCGACACCAAGCACATCACCAACTTATATATTTAGTATTGTGATAGCTGTTATAATTATAATTTTAAAAATTTATTTTATAAAAATATTTTTAGTTGAAACTCACCAACTTATATATTTAGTATTGTGATAACTGTTATAATTATAATTTTAAAAAATTATTTTATAAAATTATTTTTAGTTGAAATTAGATTAAAAAAATAAATATTTAATTAAAATTATAGTTAAAATTGAGGTTGAACAAAAAATAATTTACTATGTTTAGTTAAAAATACTTTTGAAATTAAAGTTATAAAATAATTTTTAAAAATATTTATTAATATTGATGGTTTTTAATTTAAATATTATAAATTTAAATAATGCTATTGTATCATGAAATAAAAAATATTTTTTATTATTCCATTAAACCATCTACAAATTCATTACGTACAAAATTCATCCGACAAGAACAAGAATTTTCATAATTTTTTGAGCGTGCAATAAATTTAGATAAAATATTATTAGGAATAAAATTGATTTGATATTACAGTGCAAGTGAATTTAATTCACTCTACACTAGTTTTTCGAGAAAAAATATTGTTCATATGACAATACGAGTGAATTTAATTTACTCTAAACTAGTTTTATTTTTTAAAATCTATAAAAAATAAACACATTGAAAAAAAAAAAGACTAAAGATGCAAACTTGACTTGGAGGTCATGATCTTCCTTAAAGTTGTATATACATCCACTAGATGCATGAACTTGAGTTTTACTTGGTATATCATAAATATACGAGGTGTCTTAATTTTAAGTATTTTCAACTAACAAGTCTAAATACTTCATTATTTCATCAGGGTCTTTATTTTCAAAAGTTTCATTATAAATCAATTTAACTATTTGTCTATCTCTAAGAGTTAACCCTTCATGAAAATATAAAATTAAAATCAATTTAACCATTTGTCTATCTCTAAAAGTTAACCCTTCATGAAAATATAAAATCAATCTTTATATTTCAAAACCACGATGATAGCAAGTATTATGCAAGTTTTGATACTTATTCCAATATTAATAAAATATGTCTCTTAGTTTTTAAATAAAAATAATAATTAATATTGTAAGTAAATTGTATTATTTATTTGTTTTGAGTAAACATTATAATTCACTTGCATTTCAATTAAACAATGCAAGTAAAATGCTCTTTCCTTGTACTGTTTATTTAAACAGTACAAGTAAAATATACTATTCACTGAGATACGGTTTGAAATTATTACATAGACGCAAGTAAAGCAACTTGGAGCTGCTTTCAACGGAACATAGACGCGTCCACAAATTTTGATAGGTTTCATTAACGGTAAATAATGGTTTATCAGTTAATTTATGCATTCCACTATGCAAATCTTTCGTTACGCATATTGCATCGTCAAAGCTTTCATGTCTATTCGAATATAATATGTTAGCAATTATCGACAAGACAAATGATAATGTTATCGAATTCTAGAACCCTATATTGCAGTACACGTCGTGTGAATCATTAAGTAGGCCTGTCCATTCATCAGGATTGTTCGATTTGAAATTAACTAATGACGAAATACAATAAGCAAGCAAAACAGAGAATGCATAGGTCCTAGGAGTTCGATAAGAAGTGTCACATTAGTCGGAACTTGAAAGCAAGATGGGATTCAAATGAGTCAAGACCACAGCACAAAAGGAAAATCAGTTAATCATCTTGGCCACGGTTTGACAAATTATGTAATAAAAAGCTGCTCTGTGACAAGGAAAATGCTTCCCAGTACAATTCACCATCAAACGATATTACTACCATGAAAAGAAGGGCACGGCGTTTTCTGAATGAGGTACTCTTCACGTTGAACAGAAATTTGCAAGTTTATAATTAAACCAGTGTCATACGTTGGATATTGTGATAAACCAATTCTGCCATGCCATGAATTGGACTATGATCTTGCCTATTTATGTAAAGTCGGCAGGAACTGCATCTGTTACACCTGATGTTTGAAAGCGAAGAAACATGCTACCATAGCTTTGGCAATCCAGCAAGTTCAAAGATCGAATTTCACAAGTAAATAATTATAACAGACCAGTCCAGGCCTCCGGAGGGTCAACTATTTATTAGTACAGAACCACCAGCAACTAACTTACAAAGAAAGAAGAAAACAATAGACTCTCTCATGTGAGTGCACTTACATCAATGAATTCTTATTAATGGAGACTACCAATCACATATATACGCATCTTGACATGCATTGAGATGAGATTCACTTCACCTGGCTATCAATGCACCAGAGGCCTCATTGTCCTCAGGTACTTCCTCCAGAGGACCAGCCCAGCCCAGGTTCATAGCCAAATCTTCCACGGCCACCTTGATTACATCACTCCGAACACCTATATCAGTAGCATATCTGCTCATGCAGTACATTCCAGCTGTTACCGTAGCCACACCAACAGGACTAGGCATTAACAACTTTAAAGGGGATGAAAGAATTGCGGCCAATGGAGCACCAATAACCGAAGAAGCTTGACCACTTCTTCCAACCCCCAGTCTGTCCATTATCAAGAGCCCTGTCTTGCAGTACATTGCAAAATCCTCGCAGTTGTTCTGAAATACATCATAATTGCCAAATCCATTTTGAAGAAGATACATTGCTCTGTGGATAACAGTTTCTGGTGGATCAGATGCTGCAGTGGTGCATGTGCCTCCACGTACTTTTGCAATAAAAACAGTAGGGGGCACCCCATACTCAAAGCTGTAAAGGGACCCTTTTTTGAGGAAGCAGTCCAGGCATGAGAGGACTACGCCACTATCAGGTTGTCTGAATCCACAGTCAGGAAAGGTTTCACAAGATGATGGAATGCTCGACATTGACTCATAGAAGTCAGAAGATGCATCAGAGCTTGAATTTGCATTCTGTCTGGGTGTAAAATGGACCACCTTGCTTCCCCCAACAAAGACACCTGCACAATCAAATAAAAAATATAGCTTCTGCTATATGTCTAACCACAGAAAGAAATGCTACTATCCAACAAGATTAGCAATGGCCATTTCAAAACAAGTCCAACTGCAGATGTAACTCATTAACAGAGCAAATGCATATACAAAAGAAGCTCAAGATAAAGATAACAATTATAATAAAACAAACGGTGAACTTGTGAGTGCTTTGTTAGGCAGTAGATGTTATTTACAGTATTTTTCATTTATTTATTTAATATAACTCAGCATTAGAAAATGCAATTCCAGATCAATAATTGCTTGAATTTACCCTAAAATCTCACATGGCATTTTATACCTACCAAACAACAACATTGAGAGAAGCCCAAGTTAGAGATAATATAGCAACATTAAGAGCTAAAACCCAAGTTAGAGAAAAGCACAAAACTTTAAGAGCGAAAACCCAAGTTACTGAGAGGCTCGTGCCTAATATGCTTGATGCATGAGATTGGTTGGTGAAAATTATTCGGTGTGAGTGGAAAAACTACAGCACAATAAGTTTTGAACAGTAGAAAAGAATTACAAATATATTGATTCAAGACCAGAGTTGCTCAATAATACTAGACAAGAATGGCATGCGCTACCATTCCTTCCTAAATATGAGCTAAAGAAGAGCTAGAAATATAGCCCACAGCTCTAAACTGCCCATGACAAGCAACTTCCAACAATACTAATATAGGGATGTAATTGACAAAAATCACATGGCGCCATATGACACAAATGTTGCTGATACAACCACCATCCACTGAACTTGTTCATGTCACTAGCCTTCTAGCTCTAGACATCCTGAAAGGCCAATTGACTCTTATCATAGAACAAGAAGTCTAAATGTGTATAAGTAGCTTCTCTAAATTGCCCCCAAGCTTAATCATAACAAGGACATGAAGACATTATGCAAAATTCTATAAACACAATTTAATCCTGATGGTAGCCATTCAGCTTCCAATTCTTTATGGTGACAAAGAGAAATCAAAACCATCAGAATAAGAACCAAGATTCAGGGCTCGCTAAGGGTTAATGAACACTATAAAGAGCACAACTGAACATTTTCTTGAGATCAAAAGCAAAGATACGGTCCATTTTATGCAAAACTACCGTTCATCACCCATCTTCATGATGATGCTATTTTCATCAATCACTGCCCTAAAATTATACCGAGATAATCCACAGAGTCCTTCCTCTTTAACTATCTTCCTTGATTCTTCAAGCTATAAAGCCCAACACAAGTGTGAACTAAAGAAAGGTAATTAAACGGCCACCAAGCAGTCTAAATCCAAGTAAGAAGATGATATGATAGTCAAATGACAACCAAATGTTAAGAAAATGCCGTTGGTAGTTTTACCCTTCATCCAGGGAAAATGTTACAGTTTTAAGTTACATATTCCACAACTGATAAACATGATGAAGGAATCCACAGGCATAACCTTCCTAGAAAAGAAATTTCAAGCTTCACCCACCTCAAAACTGTCAAATGATCATTATAAATATCCAAATGCAAATTATACGGGAACTTTCAGACATCAGTAGGAGACCCAATCCAACCTTATTAATATCCACAGTCCAGAAGGAAAAAGAAATACAGATAAAAAAGAAAAGAAAAGAACTTATTAGACAAGGCATGTAAACTCAAACAATAATGTTGTTTGAAATAAACAAGAAAAGTCACTTTCTCAAATCAAATAGATTAACAAATCTTCAACAGTAGGAAAAAAGGAACAAGCTTTAGCAGGGGAATTACATAAGAGACACCCACATTGCAAAATTCAGAAAGAAGCAAACAAAAAAAAGAGGGATGAGATACCATGATGCGAGTAAGTGAAAACAGCTCTATAAGTATAGATATGATCTCCCGGTTTGATTTCACTTCTCTCCACTCTATGGCTAAGGAAACCCATCTCTCTCTGTGTCTTCCTCTCCTTCACTCTCCGTTACCCCACTCGTAATTTTTACTCAGGTCAATAGAAAAAGCACGGCAGCATCCTCTGTACCTGGTCTAGAGCTACAAAAACAAAAAAATGTAGAGTCAGTACAACTACATTTACCGAAAACCCCATAAAAAATATTTAAAAGGTGCCTATCATGATGGTGAGATATTGATTAAGATTCCTTTTGTGATAGATAAAGTCTCGCTGTTTAGACTTTTCCCTTAACCTTTTCTTTTCCTTACTTGACTTTTCATATTCTTGGGGCCTTGACTCGACTTCGTTTCCGAAGGGTAAAAAAGGAGTAATGTGAAACCAACAGAATCATAAACAGAACCGGTTTGATAAGGTGAATGAACTATGTCATTCCATGTCGGAAGTTGTAATGTAGGTAAGTTTAATTGGAAGGCAAGAGCGATACCGTTTCCTCAGAGGGGAGAAGGTAATAGGAGTCCAATGCACCTTGGATTCTTTGCTGGGTTAACAAGTTGTCCTTTTCATACTTTTGCCATTTGACCCATATGATGATGTGCCTTTTTACACTTTTATTTGAAATTCAACTTTGGGTCATTCGATGTTTTTTAAAATTTATTTTTTTATTTTTTTACTAAAACAATCTAAAATATTTAAAAATTAATTTAAAATAAAAAAAATAAGATTTTATAAATAAAAAAAATTCAACTGCAGCCCCACCAAAGGGCACTTCAAAAAGACAAAAACAACAACCACAGCTTCAATTAAAAAAATGATTTGTTGTGAATGTCTGAATTCGAGGAGAAAGTCTATGCATAAATGATGGGATGGCCTGACTACCGTTTACGAAATACAAGCAGTACAAAACAGAGCGGGGAATGCAAGCAGCTTTATTGCTACATCCTATTAAGCTTTTATAATGGATACCCAATATTTTGTGTTCTATTTGCAGCACTGCTTAATGTATACAACAATGAGACAACCATAGACTAACAGTATCAAATAGCTTATATGCCCTGTGACAGAAAGAATAATAAGGCTGTGCGGTTAGAATTACATCACATGAAAACTATATTTCTGATTATCTGCGTTTAATCTAATTATCTAAATGGATCTTCCAATTGTAGAATTTCACATTAAGATTGGAATCTTCTACTTTATTCTTCAGCTCATTTCCAGATTCGGCATTCTTTGCCAGTAACAAAGCAAAGCCCCCGCCGCCTGCACCAACAAGTTTGTATCCACAGCAGTAGGGGTCAGCAAATGCAAAGAGTTTATCCACAAATTCGTTGCTGCAGTAAGGGTCAAGTTCTTGATGCAACCTCCAGGCCTCGAGCATTATCTTCCCTAGTTCATCTACCTCACAGTTCATTAAAGCTTCCCTACCAACTTTAGCCAGCTCAGTGAGGCGCTTAATGCTGGATACAAGAAGGTTATCCCGCTGAAGATATCTAGTTACCACCTTCTGTAGGACTTGATGTGCAAGACGAACCTGCAATGACAACACAGGAAGGCAACGGTTAAAGCAGGCAGATGTTTGATTCCCGGATAACAATCATGTAACTCAAATGTTTACAGTCAAAAAAGAAACCCTCAGATGTGCAAATCACCATATAATACACAGCACCTAAATTCCAAGAAACAGCAGGGGTGCTGTCCACTGCAGGAAGAAAGTAGTCAGCTCTAAAAAAAACTCTCAATTAAAGAAATGAGCTACAAGAAGGATTTGAATCTTACATGTTCATGACCACCTAGCATATACGAGTTTTAAATTTACATTTGCATGTCGCATGTATTTTGAGGAGGAATATTTAATTTCCATAAAATTACAGCTAACATTTGATTATTCGAATAAGAATGTTACTATTGAAGAGACAAGCTGCCCAAATTTAATGAGTAAACATCCGGTTCAGTTAACCGCTCCATGGACCATCGATCCTTACATCATGTTGTGCAGACTTCATAAGCCGTTAATAAAAAGTTGGTGTGGTTATATTATTTCTTTATAAAATATACTCACAAAGCATGCCCAAACTGGGGAAAGGATGGAGACTTACTTGACCAGTAAATACTACAAGCAATCTCTGCTGCAACTCCAAAATCAACTGAGGAGAAGCCAATAGGGGAATGACTTGAAGCCGCAATGGTACTCCAGGAAAACTTGTAGTGAATTTAATCCCAGGGTACAAACCTCCAACTTGATCCTGCCAGCCACCTCCTGTCCCCATGAGTTGCTCCAATACCAAAACAAGTCTAGCAACATTTTCATTACTTTCATCTCCATCTGTTATCTGAAGAAGTCCTTTCACAACAGCAGCTGCTAGTATGCTAGAAGTTCCCAGTCCGCTTCCACGGGGTACATTAGCCCATGTCTTGATTTGCAAGCCCATGGATACAAGAATGTTTTCATGAACCAAACCAGTCACCAGCAACGCAGATTTGACGAGCCGGAATGGATCGTTGCCATCAAATGGAGGAGCATTGGAGACAAGATTCTCAACATATAATTGGTTTCCAGCATCATCATTAATCAAAACTCCAGTCTTTTCTGTTGTCTCGATAATGGTGCCAATTGGAAGGCAACCTTCCAAACTTATTGCCAAATTCAGAACACAACCAGCACGCTCTAAGCTCCATGGAGGGGTATCACTCCATCCCCCAGCAAAATCTACCCGAACTGGTAACTCAACCTTTACCATTCTAGGGCAGAAAGGTTGATCCACATAGCCATCAAAATGATTGTTCTGGTCTGCTGAAGTAGGTGTGCTGCTAGGGGACTCCAAGACACGTTCTATAGAACAAAAGAATGGAGTTTAAGAACCATGAGCATTAAAAAATCAAAGACTAACCCATATGAACTCCAATGAAAAACAAAACAAACCATGTGTATCCATTGAAAAAAGACACCAGAGTTTAAAGACAGTAAAGAGTGTATAAATCTTTGCCAGAAGTTTTGGTTCATTTAGAGGTTACTAGTTTGCTTTGTTCAAGCCATGAATATTTTTTATTCTACCTCTGAATCCATATCTCACTGCTGAAGCAGTTTCATCAGCAACTGCAGCCCAAACTTTAGGTTCTAAATGACATGCAGTTGTTTCATCTCCACATGCTCGAAGAAGATCAACTTGCACCTGGTATGCCCTGCTTCTGGGGAGAATTTTAGAATTCTGCTCCTCCAGTTTGGGACAAAGTTCTAGGAAGTCCTCACATATTTTGACTCCAGAAGCCTCCTTCTGTAAAATTTCTTGGCATAGTTGAGATAAATTCCGTCCAAGCATGCCATAGTTAATGCAAGCTTTAGCGATTCCAGCAGCAAGATCTGCTTGATGATTACTTGAGCCCGTACACATTTTTGGAAAGTCAATTGATCTATGCAATTCCTCTAAACTGACACGGCGTGAACTTTTCCACAAGGGAAGCAAGGTTCTTGAATTTTGATCACTCAACCCCATCAACCATGATGCCAGATGAAGCATCTCTAAGTAAGAAAGAATGGGGAATAATTTTGCATTCCATAAACAATTCTCTTGAACACCTACTGAACTCCACAGATCACTCTCTTGAATACCTAAATCAAGCAAGACTTTCTTCCAGGGTTTCCCACAAAAGGTCCCATCATTGGAAAGGGAACTTTTTGGATTATCATGAAGGCCACAATACACTATTACTCTTTCCGTGCATCCCACTAAAGGAACCTCCCAAAGACAATGACGATCTGGAAGCATGAACCTAAATAAATCATCTTCCATCCCACCAATATCTCTTGGGACATTAACGCCAACAACCACAGATAGCGAACCAATTTGTATTCCACTGGAAATGAATGAATCATATATAAGAGAATCTTCACCAACAGAAACACCAGGTTCAATTTTGCTAGAAAGGACTACAGCAGATGCTGCAATATCAGATGAAGTTGTGGCTGGGATGGAACACAAATGTCTTCGGCCAACAAGTTCTGGGCTAGCTCCGCTTAAGTGATCCAATACTTCACTTGAGGTTCCAAGGTGTAGGAACAACAAATCATCTGCAACAAATATAAGGCATATTATAACAGTAATGAGATAAAATACGAAAATTACGGATTCTTTCAACATACATGCACAGTAACTAAACATATTTTGCCTGCCCAAACTCCTGACCATTTCCTCGCCTAGAGGGCGTGCTCTCAGCCAGTCATGTTTTGCAGGTACCCAAGCTGCTACCAGATCTTCATACAAACTCATCTGCATAACATTCCAGAAATGATGCCAGTTTCAATATTTATATGTCAACACTTCTTGGGCTATGAAAATCCTACAGGGCACAACATGTGTTTTCTTTTCATTATTGTAACGACTTAAAGTAAGTCACAAATCAAGTAGTCTCAGAATTAAAGACACTTGGGAGTATACAGGTCTAACATGGAAGAAGCAAAGTAGCGGAAGAAAACTAAAAAAAAGGGATTGATGCAAAACATTACAATCAAGGATGACCCAAACAATGGCTCTTGTTGCAGTAAAATAATCATAAAAAAAAAAAAAAGAGATCAAAATGGGAGCAGAACATAGTATTAATGTGCTTTAAAAGCTGGGAAATTATCAAAATAAGATAGCAGGATTCAAAGCAAGTTCTGAATTATAGCATAAAATGCTGGGCAGCGCATCCATAAATGAGAGTGCTTGGAAGTCCCTGACGCAAACAGCAAGGAATAACAAACAACAATGTTACAAAACATTCATGGAGATAAAGATTTAGAATAGAAAGCCTAAAGAGCATGAAATCAGTAACAATTTGACAAATAGAGATGACAGACATGCATGCATGTATAGTTTCTATATTTTATTATTTTCAATTAAACAACTGAAAAAATGGGTACTCGCCTCTTTTCTGCTCTTCAAAAGCTCTTCAATCATTGGTTCACAGGATGATGCAAGCATGGCAAGTTCTGCCCATGCTTTGCCCCTGGCTGCTATTATTCCAGTGTCCAGCAATGTTCTACCATCATCTAATATAGCTTCATTCTCAACAAGTTCCTCTAGACTGGGTTTCTGTAGGAGATTGTCAACTAGGCTGACTGTGTAGCTTTCAGTGAGAATACCAGTATCAGATGCCACAATAACACCATGATTCGATGCAACATCAAGAGTGATGGGCACAGTAATAATGCAGGATGCATCCTCTGGAATAACCAAGGTGGATGCATCAAAACATGGAAGGACATCCCCAGTCATGGTCAATA